AAAAATCAATCTTCATGAAAAATTCTTTGTACTTTGAGCTATAAAATGAGCTCTCAATCAGCTACCGTTTTTTATTTCTTTATGGTAGATACGTTGAAACGTAAAATGAACATGCTGAGGTCATTTTTATTTGATCTCTCATGTCACATGCTGTGCTCAGGTATGTAAGTAGTTTATTCATTGTTTTATAAATTAAACATATATGGTCAACCGATCCTTTCTCTTTTACATTCTTTCACTTAAATGAATATAAAATCCAGCCCACTCTCTTATACCAAGCATATTTAATTTTTCTTCTTGATAAAAATAGACTATAATTTGTAATTTAAACACCTCATCATGATGAATTGTTCTCTGGTAACGATGCGAATAATGTATGTACAACCATATCATGGCTCTATCTAAACGACAACTTCCACTTATTGAGCTGTGTACATTTATGACGAGAAGGATAGAGAGTGAAAGAGAGAAACAGAACTTTTTGCTCCAACGATCTTTGAATTGAAAAAAAACATTCTATTATAACCGTCTGGTGTATTTCAATTTAATAAAATGAGACGTCTAAACTAAAACGAAAGTAATTTTCTTGCGTTCATCATTAACGAGAAATGTTTTACTATTGCACTATTGCATTTAAGGCGATTCATTTTGAGAGGGATTTACAATTTCTTTTTAAAGACAATATTGATAGTTGGATGATCTTACAATAATATAATAAGGATTTATCATACAGATAATGATTATATATATTTAATAATTTGAAAATGCGTCTATAATTGATTTGATACGTCGATTAAATGATTTATTTTTAATTGTTTCGACATGACGTACCTATGTAGACTATGTTACAGTACTCGATGAACATAATCGAAAATTGTTTTAACATACATTCAAGAGGTGGAGAAATTATGACAGGATGTCTGAGAGATAATTATATACTACTAATAAGATGCTGTTATGGTTGTTGGTGTTAGTGTTTTCATGTAATAGTACACGTGCTTAATGGCGTCTCTATTAAATTGAATCGCCTATATAAGAAAAAATGTAGAGTCAGTTTATTTGAAAAGATTAAGAACACATAATTAACCATATCTAATTGGCAGTAGAGTGAAAGATTATGGTATACAGTGGGCAATTTCTACATAGCAGGCGGACATGAGTACGAAGTGTATTTGGCAACCTAAACAATGAACTTTTTCTACGTTTTGAAACACGTTCTATCGAATGGAACACTCAGAATTTTTTCTGACAAAAAGTGTTTTTTCTCGAATATAGATCTTAGGGGAAGCTTAGACGAAATTATTTCGACAGCAAATTTTCTTTTAGAAATATAGTTATCTGATACATGGTTCGATGTAGTCTTTTGTGTTGGTTCCTAATATCACCTTGGTTTTGAGCTAAAGTGCTTCCAAAATGAGAAAGTTTGATTTTACAATTAATGTTTGAGTTGATTATCAAGATTTTCCCTATTCATTTTTACTCTGATTTTTATTATCAAGGAACAATTAGACAAAGATTTTTCAGATTAAAATATATATCTTTTTGACTGAATAGTGAATGTTGTACGGCTAAATGAAGCTTAGACAAAATATAATTGAAATATTTCATGATAAATCTGTACATAGTTATGAAGAGAGAGCAACAATTATTGCCTGATGATTCTTGAATAGCGAAGCCAATAAACAATTATATAGTTCAATTATTTCATCATATAAAAAAATGAACAATCCATCTTTCGATTAACGTCTCTTTTGTGAAATAAAAGACAGAAAAATGTGTTATACACTCTTATCAGTTTCTCATATGAATAAGCATAAAATCAAAAATCAAACTATAACATTGAGATTAGAAACTACGAACAAAAGAGAAATTATAAAATACTATACTTAAACACGGATGAACAACGACACATGCTAATGAATTCTCCAAAAGCTTACGATATTTAAAAAGAAAATCCATTATTTAGTTAGCGCAAATAAAACTTGTTTTTAAAGAGATAAGTATGTGTTTATACAGGAAATATTCGATTGCTGGATGTAAAAGCAAAAGAGAATGATTTAGCATTGAGACATTAATGCAGAAAGTGACGCAACTGCTCTTTCATAGCATTATATGCAATACTAGTCAGATTAATCATTTTTTTAAGTGATAATGTGAAAGGCTGAACAAGAGTAAGATAGAAAACCTTAACCTAATGGATTTAATTTTTTTCCATGAACAATGTATTAGAGTGATCTTTCGATGATATTCTACCATGTAGTTTCCTAAAGTTTTCATATGAGATTTTGACGCCTATGGTACTCTCTAGGACTGCCGTTTTGCACTGAAAAAACAGTTTTACTGAGTAGAGGAATCTTGCTTGCATTTTGCAGATTTTACCGTATCATCAATCGAAAAAAGCATTCGGCTTATCCGACTGACGGTGCCTCATGCATAACTAAAGTTTGATAACGTAATTTAATAAACTGCTCACGCTATTTTAAAAAGGATAGCCTATTACATTTTTAAAATCGTGTGTTTTGTTGTCGTTAAGGTTTATAGTGTATTTTCATAAAACGGATATTCTCTCTCTCGACTGCCAGTTTAGTCATCATCATGGGTCTTAATATTAGTGATTTTCGAGCATGTAAATTTTTACTTTCAGTCATTTGTAAATTTATATCAATAATACATTCATTCAAATTTTTTTCACACATCATAAAGTACATGTGTGGATGAGTAACATTTATCACTTAAATAACTCTCCTTTGCAGTGTCTGCTTGTGGAAACCTTTTCGGAGGCAATGAAAAGAGCGTCATAACTTTGATCTGTAGATTAACAACCGGAACCTTGATTAAAATTAAAATGTAACTTCGTAGTTTTTACACTACGATCCAGTTGAAGTTTGAGCCAATGTAAAGCTAATCTTAAATAGACAACTTTAATTTTCTATTAAATGGTCAACTTTATAAGAGCAAACAAATATGTTTTTTTTTCCAAATTGCAAACAATTGTTTGCAATTTGACAGTTAACTGTCAAAATATGGGCAAAAATAACTTGACTGTATTTGAGCATTTTCTTTCGTGAAACTTACATTTTATTGAAGATGAATATTGGATTCTTGATCAAAACTGAGCCGAAGTATGTAGCCTTTTATCATGTTTTCTCGTTTTTACAGGACGTTAACTTTAATAGTAAGTTTTGACTTAAAATTCAAAAATCTTTTTAGCATCGAAATTTCAATTTTTCATCATTTTCTTGTAACATTCAGCTCTGAGATCATCGATTACATAGAAAACTGGTTATGCTAGTAAAACTGATACAATAACTCTCTTCAGTTTTACTCCAGGAATACTCCAGGTTTTAACAGGACGCAGATTAAAAATGATAAAAGAGCTTGACGGTCACATTCAAATCAGGGTTCTCATTTGATTCTCTCACAGCTATTCATCAGTATGTCCACACATTTGTAATAAAATTATTGTCTAAGGAACATTTTATCTTTAATTTAGTCAAAGGAGTATCTATTCATTTTTTTCTTCCCATACTTCCATTCATTTTTACGGAAGTTCTTTTTTTGGTACTTCGTGGGTTTAATACTGATTGACGTTGATGTTGCCTTTTTTGTATTCTATCCTCGTAATTATGTTAATAAACGTAGGAACAAACATGGGTGGCCGACTTGAACTCGTGCTGCATGTATCTTGTTTGATCGATTAGTACGTGTTCATGCAACATAGTGTTTGATGAATGCGCAATGGTGGAAACAAACACTGTTCTATTATTGTATTGAAGCTGGTTTGGATGTAAGAAGATACAAGACAGAAATAACACGAGATCATAACTCACGTCAGGATTGGAAGTATTCGAAACATATACGATGTCCCAGCTAACAAGCAGGCGAATATTTTAAGGAAGAGTTCAGGATTCTCATTAACACTGTACGCACACCTGTTCGAAAGCTCAGGCTAATCTACTGGTACTGTCAAAACCAAAATTTTCAAAAAATTTTCATTTGACGGAACAAGACGGTTTTTCAAAAGCTAATTTTTTAAGGCTGACAGAAAACTTTTTAAAACTTTGCCAAATCTAGAATATCGCCAAACACAGTATGGATTCTGATACTAGGCATTCTTGACGCATATGCTTACCTTAATTCGACGTTCTAGAGGAGATAAGGGACAAACTTGTCACACGTAACGCTCCTGTTGAAAAATGTTTTTGATGAAAATAGTATTTTAGTTTTTTAACTTAGAGTCCCAAATTTCAAAACTTCAATATAGTTCAATATTAGCTAAAATGGAAATTAAAAATCGTTTAATGCACGACCTTAACTCTCGATTTACCATGTACAAACACTTTATGTCATATTCAAATATTTCATCTTAAGACGAATGAATCGTGCTAACACTCATCGAATAGCGAAAAGTTCTCCCTGAAGCATTAGACATGGTAACCGAGGTATATAAGAACTTGGAATTAACTTTGAATTGCTACTAATCAAAGTATATATCTTTCATTAATACCCTGTTTGATTGTATGGATCTCCTGTTTGATAACAAATTATTAGAAAACGAATGCACTGTAAAAGAAGCCTTGGAAGTTGGAAGTTTTGGAAACTGAAAAACATGGGGCACTTTTCGAGGTGTTCCATTCACCGCCCAAAAAGTGCCCTGAGGCACTTGGCTTTTGCACTGCATGGATTCATACGTAAAAATGCTTCGAAACACAGATATACAGCAGAAATTTGTGTAGCACGGATGTACTGAATGTGAAACAACTACTTGTAAAAGTTGAAATACTGTTTTAAAGTAATTTAAATAAATAGACGAACAATTAAAAATGATAGCTAGACACAACAGCTTACGATAGATCATACTTGATAAACAAATTGCTTAGCACCAAACAAAATATGTAATAACTAAAATGCGTCATCTAGTGCAATATTTGAGGTCTTTCGTTTTGTGTTAGATATTACACAGTATTCGAACTGATAGATGACCCTTCCATCGATACTTCTTAAATACTATCTTTCGTTGTCATCAATATTCCATTGTCTATGTCTGTCACCTCAAATTCATCGTTGTTGTCAGTCATCTTCTTCAACGCTGCGGCTGCAATCGCAAAATTGTCATCATCAACTACAAACGTTTTTTTCTTATCTTTTAACCATTCAGGATAGCTGTAACAAGCTTTCAACATTGTTTTAAAATACATTGGAATTCCGAACTAAAACAAACCAAAGTTTCATGAATCAAAACTGTATATTTTGGTCCTCGTGTTTAATCACTTTTCCTGCCCAGTTCCAAAATGCTTTCGGTATATTTCCCTTAGGATCTTCAAAATACCCCAAAAATGCTACAATAAATGTTTAAACTTAATCTGATCACAAAAATGAGTTGTTAGTTTCTTTACCTTTTAGACCAAGGGCACCATCTGAACAGATGAACAGTTGAGCTTGAGCATCATCTATACGAACCACTTTCTTACGTGGTAGTTCAGCTTTAAATGGATGGCTGTAACTCATGATAAAATAGATGTGTCGACCATCCATATCGAACTCACGATTTTCTCTTATAATAGTATACTTTATCTTTCAGTTAAGAAAAACCTTTGAGAGAGAATATCAGAAAATAGATTTCGGCACAGTAATATTTAAAAGATACGTCGCGATTATCCAGAATAAATGGAAATACCACCTGCCAATAAAATCCTTCCTGATTTCCGTCTTTCACCGGATAGGTTTCTAAAACACAGTATGAGAGTGCTACCATATCTAAATCTTGATAATCTTAAGAGGTTCTTTGGAGACTAAGAGATTCAATGACTCTCTCTCTACTTTCTTGCAGTGATATGAACGAGTGAGAAAACTACATGAAAAAATAGCTTATCGACCCTTCTGATCATCATGTTGATGTCTGTTTTCTTTCTGACCGTGTACTTACAGTGGCTCGTAACTCTGCATTTTCATTTGAGGGTCGCAAAAAACGATTTTATGACCAATTTAACTTCCTATTTGATGACGAAGCAGACACCACTATGATGATCAGGAGCGTCAATAAGTTATATTTCCATGTGGTTTTCCCACTCCTGCATGTCATAGGAAGAATGGGCTCACCGGACAATGAGTACCACATAGTCCATATATAAGTTGTAAGTTCCGAATCTGAGTCAGTTTGTAGTAAAGTGATGAGACTATCTCTTGTAAGTGTTACATCTAAATATCTATGTTTTGTTTTATTTTATTTTTGTACTGATGGTTTTCTTAAATACCTCTGGAAAACCATCTCAGATCTGGATCAAAAACCCACAACCATATTTGTTTTAAGCGCATGCTGTCTACTATCAAATAATGAAAGGCATCTATTTAAGTGCTAAGTAAAAATATATAAATGCTAAGTTAATTTTTGCTAAGTAAACTTTGTGTTTGCTCAGTAAATAAATTGAGTGTTAACTGACAATATTGAACGCTCAGTTAATTTATAGTTTCTCAGTAATAAAAATATTTGCTAAGTTAGATAACTAATATCCAAGGAAAATTCTTTTCTTGCTTATTTAATAAATTGAAATCATAGTTATTAAACAAAATCGCTAAGTAAGAATCATTACTACTAAGTAGTTTCTAATAAAGATTAAGTACGATTATCTAAGATAGAATAAATTTTTTTTATTATGGTATGGCGTATACATTTTCTCTACCTTTCTGTCTGTCAATATTGAACTATCGCCGTGATACACGTGTATGTCGCCTATATTTTTCGTTCTCATGTCATGCGTGCATACATACATTTTTTCTTCGAAGATACTCCAATACAATATGATTTTTCTGTCTTCTGTTTCTTTCATATGTGATCTGTATTGGTTTTTCAAGATTGTTTTTTTTTGGAGTTTCCAATTTTCTAGTAAGTCCCCACATCCATCGATCTTATTTTTGTATAAATATTTGCCATTAAAACTTTACTTCAAATTTATGGTGTGGTTGTGAGTGTAGATACAAGAGTGTTTGTAAAACGAAAGCTTGTACTAACACCTAGAACTTATATCGACAAAACTCTTCGTTAAAATTAAAGTTGCTGAGAACCCATTTTAATTAGTTCATGCACATAAGGATGTAAGTGGATATAGGTTTCGGATGTTTGTTATGTGAAAGTTAGTCTTCTTGTCAAAAACATCCCTATTCCCAGACCCCATCACAATAGAAATCAGACTATAGCATTGTTTCAGCTGCTTCAAAGAATACATTTGCAAATATATTATTGGTATGGATATTAGGTTGAAGTTTTGAAAACCACACAGAATGTACCACTGAGTGAAAAACGAAGAAGAGGATGGCCGCAAAAAGCAACAAAAGCTTTATTAATACAATAACTGTACAGTTAAAGTTTTTTACTTAGATATTTATGTCTCTTTACTTAGCAAAAACTATTTATTTACCTATTGATTTCTAATATTTTGCTTAGAAAATCAAACTTATTTACTTAGAGTGCAAATAAAAAACTTAGCAAAAATGCTCTTTTTACTCTTTATGTTCAATAAATTACCTAGAAAAAATGTAATTTTTCACTTGACTTTTATTAAAAATTACTTAGCACTTAAATAGGTGCCATAATGAAATAATCAAATTTTTAGAACTTTTGTGTTTAACCATCGTAGAAGATCTTCTAAGAGCACTCGACTTTCAGCCAAAAACTTTTGAAAAATCTTCAGGTTTTGAGTATTTCCAAACAAAAACTGTTTTAAATAGCTAAAAGTGAACTCTGTCGAATGAGCTTGTTAAAAAAATTAAATGATAACGGCGAATATTTTTAACTTCAATATTTCCGAAAGCCCCGTGCTCTAAAACTCGGTTTTCAAGAAGTCCACTATCAAGTCAGAATCAACCAAACCCAACGGCACCATCAGATATGGCAAAATCGAAAACTCTTAAGGCCAAGAGGATATGTCGCTTTGTCCATTACTTACGTGAATAGTAAGTATATATTGGGAAGACGCTCATTGGCGAAAAGCAGAGATCTTTATTTGTCTTCTGACGAAAAAACGTCCTGACCCATTTTCTTTGACCCCGGAAGCTGAGCTTGCAAAGCAAACTTGAAACAGTCGTAACTCAGTTTACACTCGAAGAAACAAAATTTACTTATTAGCAATGACTAATTTATAATGTCAGCTCAATCTAGAAAAAAATCCTTTTTTTGCTCAATTGTCATCTTGTTATAGCGATTCTGCGATATCCCACTAATGTCTACACCTGTGGACATCCGGAAATAAAAGGTTAAGATACATGGTACGTTCAGTTCAGGATTAATTAGAATTAAATTAGAATTTGTTCAAAAAGACATGCATCACAATTCCAAAGACGTTGATCCGGATCAAATGTCTGCTTGATTACCTTTTAGATACTTGTCCCACACCAGTCGATACTCCAAGTCGAGAAAAAAATTGTAAAATATTTCTGGTAGCAAATGTGGAATGTGCGCGTAACATTTGTATTCATAAAGTTTGGTGCCCTAATAAAAACAAAGTCAATTGGTGCGAATTGGATACAGCACTTTACCTCTTTTTTGCGTCGAAAAACTCTGACATCGTTTCCTTCGCTAAATAGCTTCCAACCAACAACGTTTGGTTCATCCAGTTCATGAACAAGTTTGTCAAAATCTTTAAGTGGATTCATTGTTTAATATTGTAAATAGGTTTCGTGTAAGAAAACATCTGAAACATTACAAGTGTTTAATTACAATCGTGATTGTCTTGAGATTTTTTTTCTCGCGTATTTTACACTGGAACTAGAGTTAGTTACAATAAATGTTATTGTGGTTTATTTTTTTCCTTCTTTTTCAGGGATGAGTGGTCTATTACACGATAGGACCACTCCTGCAGCACAGAAAGGAACAATTTCAGCCTGGTGCACTCTGTGTCACTACAAAACCATGACTGCTATAGGCCACGCTCTCTTATTGGACGTGTGAGTTGTATGAAATATACTTGGCTTCCTAACTCCCTAGTTGTATCAAGCAATAGTGATCCGTATACGTAGTTATAAAGGGTCGTTCCTTTGAGGTAGAGGCATGGGAGTGCAGCAACCTGTCGAGCGATGCTATGTTAAAAGCTGCTTCTCCATTCTTCTTCATCGCACTTAGCCACTCGTCTTACAGGTATCCCCTTTTCTTCATCCTGTTGTCAAAGGTCCGATTTATCTGAGATGTTCCTCTACGGTTTTTTGTAGATATCGGTTTTCACTTATGTAAGATATCGGGTTTATTCACAATTTGGGCTTGACCGAACCATCTTTTCGAGGGTTCGTAACATGACTCAATAATCATCAGTGTTTTGAACATTGCAGATAATGTTAAGCAAGATTTTTTCAAGGCATTTACGATGATTCTCTCTATCTCTACAAAAAGCCGTTTATTTGAACCAGAACTTGAATTTTTCAGTTCATTGAGCGAAAACTTAAAAAGCTAATAACTTTGCAAAAGAGATCGTGTAAGGCTTCGAGCGGCCTTATTTTATAAACCAGACTTTCCTGTACATAAGGCTATGTCCAACTCAAACTTTATCAAAAAAGAGAAGGGAGTTCCGTTAGTAAGGGTTTAGAGAATCAGTCACCACCCTCTTGAACGGAATAATACGATGGGACACTACCGCGCTTTGTGTGGGGGGAGAGCGGAAATTCTAGCTGGGTAGATGATCTACCTTTCTTTCTTTCTTACTTCCTCTCTCCATAGAGAAACCACACGCTTATCTTGAAAACAAGTCTTCCTTAAAAAACTAACTTCTGGCTACTTGAATAATCTAATCATGTTGAAAACATTATTTGTCTGTGTAAAAAAAAAGGAATGTATTGCTTACCCGGAGAATTTTCGTGTTTTTCATCTGTAGAAATAGAATAACTAAACAGAGTATTTTCTTTTATATGATATTCTGCAGTTTATCTGTTCTTCATACTAGTAATCAGTTACACCTAAAGTACCTATCTGTTTTATTATTTACAGTGTAGTTTCGTATTACAGGACATATTAAAATGAGATGAATACTATTTCAAAATATAGTGTGGATGATTGCGAGAATCCATGGTTCGAGAGTTACGGGCGTTTGGGACTGTCAAAAATGAATGAAAGCATTAATTACCGAATATGCGAAATCTATGGCAACATTTGTTTTTCAAAACAGTTCCAAAAACCTAGTGAAAATGTACATTAGGTGGAATATCCCATTTTTGCCTATTTTTGAGTAAAATTAAAAAATTCATAACTCAGTCAAGATCAATCCAGGTTATGTCAGAATATCAAGATATACTCTATTTTACTTGCTTCGAACGATTTTTTATTTGAGAATAGTAAAAAACACTTGGACTATCGATATATGAAAAAAACTGATAGATTTCTATGTAAAACTTTGGAGCTGCAACCTGATTTTTCAGAGATCCTCTTAGAAATCCTCCAGAAATCTACGTAAAAACTTTGGTTTCTGCATATTATTACGTGTATCTTGGCTTACACGATGGCGAAAATCTGATCTCGATAGCTCATTCCGTTCTTGAGTTATTCACGTCGCAATCATCCACACTATATTTTGAAATGTAGTAATTAGAGCCCTGAGGGATCATCCCTATCCCGGCCCCCCGGCATTCGGATTGGAGGAAAAATATTTACGTGACGGAATCGGGATTTAAGCTGCTGAACAGGATCGGAATTTTCTTTTTCCAATTGATTGGAACTATGTTCTTTATCACAAAAATAAAATAGACGAACAAAATGTCTATTTGCTGGCGCAGACATTAATGTACAGTAAAAATAAAAACAATGTCTGTTTAATAGCCTACATATCAGTGTGAAAATCGAAAATTAAAAAGAAAATATATATATTCGACAGCCTAAACGCTGATATACAGAGAGAAAGAAAGACAGGAAAAATTTACTTGTTGTCGTCGTTTGCCTCATACGACAGTTAATCAGATTCTTTCTTTCAGCCTGCCGCACATGAGCGACAACTGGCTGTATTCTAGTGAAAAAAATTTTCAGGTTTTAATGGAACTGTAATTAAGCGTACGGGACGAGATCGGGATTAAACCTACGTGATGGAATCGAGTCAGGGATTGGAGAAAAGAGTTTTTTGGAATCGGGATCGAGACGAAAAAACTCAATCCCGCAACGTAAATGGTTTTTTAATTATAGTATATTTGATTTTTATATCAAACTAAAACTTTTGTACACTTTGATATGGCTCACACTGCTATTTACCAATAATTAACTAGTATAGGAGTAAAGCTACTTAAACAAAAAAATTCTTTTTCCAAAAAAATTGTATCGTTTGTTGGAATCAATACCATAAGAGATTAATGACTATTTCTGAAAAGATTCCAAAACAGTTTTACAAAGAATTTCAAAAGAGTTCCTGTATATAAAAATTCAAATGGATAAAACTATCTTTTTCATACAAAATTTTCTCATACGAATAAAGTTATTATTCTACATTAGTATTTCAACATTCGTTGATTATATGGTTCAAATAGTACAAACACCATTTTCAAACACAGTAGTCTTCTATAAATAGTTTAGCAGTAGTTATATGGTTTATCGATTAGATAAAAATTGATTAGGAAGTTGTAAGTAGCTTCTCATAGTATCGGTATTATAAAATCGGGACAACAAGTGCTCAGTAAACAACTGTGGTCACAGTATATACAATATATTTTTCTTTCATTTAAATTCTGATAATATACGTAAAATGGCTTCGCATTCATCCACATTTCCATGCAACCGTAGAAAGTACTTATTAATACCTAAGAAATATTGATGATTAAGTAAATAATTGATCTCTCTTCAAGAAATATCGAACAAAAATACCTTGGAATACTCCAACCTTTGTGTTCTATATAGATATAACAGTTGCTCAATGATTTATTTAAGATAGAAATGAGCAACATCATGAGAGATGTAACAAACTCTGTAAATTGTTTTTCAATTTAAAATTATATGTAAATGAAGCCTATAAAGGCAGATACCATATGTACTGTAAAATGAATGAGGCAATGTAACATAATAAAAGGAATCAAGTGATTTACTTATTATGACACATTCATTGTAAAAGATGGAATCATTCGTTAAAGTGTTCCTAAGAACGGAAGATGGTTATTTACTAAAAGTAAAATCACATGATGTCATTCTTTTTATGGTTCGTCGTTAGTGTCTGATTCATAAAGTGATTTTTGACAAATACAACAATAACCTGTGTATACCTTTCATCTTAAATTTTTTCGTAAAATATTCAGTATCAAAAAAAAAGCTGACAATTCTACAATAAAAATTTATCTTCATTTTTTGATAAGTAGAAATTTCCTTGTGTCTATATATTCTTCATTCCTATGATGATAAAAAACTTAACATGACGTATAATAAATAGCAGTGTGGATAGAAAGTACAAAGCAAATGGCATTAAAAGTATTAAAATACAACACTTGAAGTAAATAGAATTGTACACAGCGTATCAAATTATAGATATTTAATCAATAACAAAACAAAATAAGGTATAAAGTAAAGGTTAACGGATTCAACACGAGTCCATGGCGCTAATAGAGTTCATCCCATTACTCGAGAAAGCAGAATTGAGAGAGTATTGGAGGAAGAATATTCCGCTTCGTGGCTACTGTTACCTGGATAAGGTGCTGACAAGTGTCAATTTCAATAGCCTGGTATCTTACCTACAGCTAACAAAATTCTGAAATGGTCACCAATATCATTACTGCTCATCAACTGCAGCTCTAACTACGCAGAGTTTGTTCGCCCAATTACTTGAGCTCCCCATATATGCTGATCACCTACTAATTTTCCGACAAGCTATAAAAACTAACTGGAGAGAGTGTATTGTACGTCAAAGTAGTAAATTCTGCAGAGTGATCTCCGAGACACTAAGACATAGATAACTTCTCCAAGGTTATTACACAATCTCATCCTGTCGTGTAAATGAAGAAATTAGATATGGAAGATGGTGCCAACACTTTTTCCTTAGGTACTGTTATCCATCCAAAAAAGGAATAACCCATGATCATTTTTTTAATACCTTAAAGACGGAAAGAGCTAGAGTTATGGGCTATTCAGATTTGGAAAGAGCAGCTCATGGAGTATCGTTTTGCAAGCAAAAAGCTTTTTGAAAAGTTTTTCAAAAATCGTTATTTGACGGGATCTCTGGAAAATTCGTGCACAATGGAACAATTTGAAATACTAAACTATTGATTTTTTTACATCGGTAGATAGAAGAAAGTGCCCTCTACAAAATGGGATTCTAGCGACACCTTCATCTACCACGACTCGATAGCTTCAGGCATTTTCTGCAAAGCCCTAAGACTGGTCAATACGTTGGCTTAGAAACCTTAAAAGTTATTTAAACACAGGTTTTCAACCATCGCGAATCTTGTGGCAATGTTTCTTTGTAGAAGGAAATTCAAAACCTAGTGAAGCCGATACTAGATGAAATAATCCATTTTTGCCTATTTGCACCGAGAGCTAAACAATCCATAACTCAGTTAAAATCGGATCAAACTACTTCAGAATATCAACATGTACTTCATTTTATCGTCTTAACGTTATTCTGGGCTTGAAATTAGTAAGAAAAATTATCTTGTTCCCAAAGTTTTCGAGAGAACCTGTCAAAGACCGAAATAGTTTCTCTTGGTTTTTAGAGTTTGCAATGAACTTCATGATGTAGTGCAGATAAAATGAAGTACATGTTGATATTCTGAAGTAGTTTGAACCGATTTTAACTGAGTTATGGATTGTTTAGCTCTCGGTGCAAATAGGCAAAAATGGATTATTTCATCTAGTATCGGCTTCACTAGATTTTGAATTTCATTCTGCAAAGAAACATTGCCACAAGATTTGCAAAAAGATGCTTCATGAACTGCTCTTTCCACATCTGAAAAATCCACCACCCTAGTTCATTTCGTCTTTGAGTTATTAAAAAAATGGCCATAGGTTATTCTTTTTTTGGATTTGACAATAGTAAGGGTTGCCAGTCGGGCGGGTGTGAAGAATATCTATTCTTTTTATAGACTCTTCACCACTATCATCTACTCTCCCTCTCATTCAGTGGATACAGTGGGAGATGAGTCGAGAGCGGATATACTTGTAAGAAGGGAGAAGTGATACTTTTGGTAATAAAGTATGTAGGGACTCTCCACAGAACTATAAGACTCATCCCTGATTCTGGCGTGACAAAAACTACTAGCGAAAGTCACGGACAATGTTTTTTAAAAAAGTTAAAAATTTACTCAAGATCGCGCCACGATACCATGAGTCATGCTAGGTCGCGAGCATGGCAGCGGAATCACGTCGCGAATGAAGCGCGATAGTTGACGTGGGGAGAGCAAACAAACACTCTTGGCGAAAAGTGTGTTTCTTTTAATTAACAATAACTTTTTAATTGATGCTAAGGTCATACTCGTGATCTAACCGATGAATCATATCGAACATGATGTTTCTTTTGCTTTCTATTTTTGAAACTATCCACTGTGATTCTAAGCGTAGCCAGTTTCGAGTAAAATTTGAGAGAACAAAGGCTATACTGTTGTGCTACAATATAACGCGCAATAAACTAACAGTTGTATGGATTGATATAGAAATTAGGTGTTTTGTTCTGAGAGAGACGCTTTAAGTCAAAAACCGAGAAAAAGTGTATCAACAATTTCTATTTACTGGTAGAAATAAGATAAATGCTATTGTATGATAGTTAATGTTTTTACTCATGCTTTAAGTGAGAAAAATTACCATTTTCATTATCTCAACAAAATTCTGTCATTCGCAAAATAATATCCTGGTGCGAGGTAAATACTTCAGAAATATCCATCGGCTTATAAATTGTAACTCAGAATAGCGGTTAAAAAAGAACTTTCGTACCCTCAAAAATCTGGCTATATCCGTACTAGCAATAATAGACCGTTATGGTATTCTGAGGAAGCAGAAGAGAGGATCTATTGAAACTGATTATAGTATTGTTGAGTGTTTCACAATGCTTTAGACTGTAACAATTAAACAAGAACTAAATCTGAAAATTGTCGATTTCTATTCAGAAACTTTTTCTTGTAATTTGTGTAGAAAGAATCTATCTAAATGCCAGCATCAATAGGAGTTGTAGCAAATGTATAGTAAATAAATTTTGATTCTTTCAGCAGTGGCGAGATGTATTTGCACATTTACGCAAACCAGAAGGGTTTCTATCAGACGTGATGCAATTAATTTTAATTTCAAAATAAAATTTGGTGCTTCGAGTGTGCAAATAAAAAAATGGGATGTCGAAGTTCCGTTGAAATTAGTATATGGCAAATAGGACTATTATTCCTCTTATTCGTTATACTACTCGGCGTTGGAATTACAGGATGGTTTCGTTCTGGAACATTAACGGAAATAACCACAGATCCAGTGACACAACCAAAAACTCGTTTAAGAACAACAAAAACCCAGTTGTTTGTTGAAGATATTGGTTATCCGCCAGTACTAACAGATCCAAGTTTATATGTTCAATGGACATTTTTACAAATGAATGATGTTTACGAAATGATAGCTCTGAACGGCGGGAAAAAAGGAGGACTCGCTAGAGTAGCAACAATTAGAAAACTACTGTTAAAAGAAAATCCGGACACAATAACGTTTTTAGCTGGTGATGTTGTCAGCCCATCTGCAATAGGTAATTAATAAGGTTCTATCATCTGTTTTTATATCTTAACGTGATAGTGAAAGCGTAGAGTCAAAATAAAATACTGAATATAACTTGACTATTTTGGCTGAAAACATAACTTTTATGGTTCTAACATCAACCGATAAGAGTTCGGTAGTAATGCCATAGAAAAACTCAAAAAAAAGGGTGTTCTTCAGTTTTTCAAAAAACTGAAAAATCAATAGGAATTTTGTTCTTCATTTATCCCAAACAGAGAACTCAAATTCTGTTCTTTAATTTTTGAAAAACTGATTTTTTTCGTTCTTTGGAGATTGAAGAATAAATTTTGAGTTTTCCATTTGGCATTACAATGCCATCTGTGTGACACAGTGAACTAACTAAAATCAATTGTTGCCTTTATATAATGCTTTTCAGATCCTCGATTCTGCATAGAAATTACAAAAAAACGTAGTTAAGCACTTTTAATTGAATTTCTAAATAAATAAGAAAGTTGTTTGAGTATTCAATGTGAGATTATTTCGTTTGTATTAAGGACAAGAACTATAGAATTATACATTGAAGACAATCAGGTTTGATACAAAATTCTAAAAATTTTGGCTAATTCTAAAATAATTGCGGATGCAGTGTGATGTGTATGTCGGGAGATGAATGTACGTAGAATTTAAGAGCATTTCAAACGTAAAACTGTGTACTAAAAGTTAAAATATTACTCTCTACGGCAGTATGTGAGTTTTGAATATGAAGCGAAAAACATGAGCTAAAACAATTTTGTTTTAACTGATCCCTGAGGAATCTTAACTTGCAGATAATCAATTAAATCGATTAATCAGATGACGTGAACCCTCAATTAGTCCAAAAAGGTGTATGCCAAATGAATAATTCTACAAGAAAAGTTTTCTTCTAGGACTTTGAATTCATTCACTATGACATCCAGAAAGCCTTTAAAAATTTGCTTAGTACAATTAAATATATTGTATTTATTTAGGTAATAGTATTGTCGATGGCGCACCTTTAAACGGTAAACAAATGATTGCCTCGTTTAATGTTTTGGGTCTCGATTTCGCTACACTAGGTAATCATGAATTTGACATAAACGTGGTCGATTTGAAGCAACGTTTAACGGAATCTAAATTTGAATGGATTGCATCAAATGTCTACGAGTTAAATACAACAACACCATTTCATAATGTTCTGCCATATAAAATAATTAAGATAAAAGATGTGAAAATACTTATAATTGGTTTAACAATTGGTGAAAATCAAGGTAGTCCTCAATATGTTACAATAACTCCACAACAAAAATTATCCGTATTTGTTTTCAAATATTTAAAATATTTGAAAAATGACTTGGGTTTAACATGGAACGTGTTGGTTTGTTTGACGCATTTAGACATGTACTATGATATTGATGTTGTAGAGAAAAATTTGGATATTGATGTTGTTCTTGGTGGGCATGAAGTAGGGTTTCATGCAAAAAACATAACTAATTCACATAACAAAATTTATCTGTTGTAGCATGAAAACTATTATTTACAGCGTGGTGCAAGATTTACACCGATTTATAAAGCGGATGATAATGCCTTCAGTGTGTTCATTCATCGTTTTGCCTACAATACAAAAACAAAACATTTATTAATCTATTCAACGTTAACACGAGTTACACCAAAATTCAGTGATGACGAAATAACAGCTAATGTGACAAATTATTATTTTCAAGCTGGTTTAGAGGCTTTTCGACGAAAAGGTTAAAAATCATTTTATTATTTGGATAAAAAAGATAATTCTAATGTTTATCGTTTATTTATTTTTAGGTTTTGAACCTGAGAAAGTTGTTTGTGTTCTTCCTTCACATATGATTTTTGATGGACGATCGACAGTGATACGTTCTCAACAGTCACTATTAACTGAAGTTTTGTGTAAAGCAATGTTACTCTCATCTGGTGGCTCAGTATGTGTCTTTAATTCTGGAGCAATACGATTAGACGATACTATATCGGGTGTTATTACGCAATACGATATACTTCGATGTCTACCATTCGCTCCAGAAGTAATTAAACTTAATGTTCCTGGTAATGTGCTGAATCGTGTATTAAATAAAGGATTAACAAAAATCAATACGGGAATGTTCGTTAGCTATTATGGAGTATTATACGACCCATTAAATCAACAATGGTTACTAGAATCTACAAGAGAAAATATTGATAATTCAAATTTAATTATTTCTACAACAACAATACTATATTTTCATAGAAATACTGAATTAAGTTATTTACCAATTTTTAGAACGTACGGTAGTCAAACACATTCATTAATTTCCTATTTGGAAAAATTTTATAAAAAACATCATAGTACGTTTAGATTATAATCTATCATTGAATGATCCACATAGTCAGTGGTCCGCATTAGTCAGATCTGTTTTCTCGAGCGCTAAAACATTATTATAGTTAGCGAATTAAATCAGGATATAGAATTTTATAGATCTGTACTATTCCATCTATTTTAAACAATTGAATTGACATTATGTAAAATTCAACATTGAAAATCTCATTACGATCGTCGAACTTGAGCATTTGATGAAGAATAACTGAAATGAGTTTCACTCATTTTAAAAACTTCACAAATGAAAATGTAAAACTATTTTTCAGCAGATAAAATATCGTCCGCATGAGATCAAAATAGTTAGTATATAATATTTCAACTATCCATAACATTCCAAATATTTTTGACACTCAAGATGACTCTCTTCAGTTTTTCAAAGAACTGAAAAATCAACGGGAATTTTGTTCGTCATTTATCCCAAATAGAGAACTCAAAGTCTGTTCTTCAATTTTTGAAAAACTCATTTTTTTCATTCTTTGGAGATTGAAGAATAAATTTTGAGTTTTCCATCTAGGACAAATGAAGAACAAAATTCCCATTAATTTTTCAGTTCTTTGAAAAACTGAAGGACAACTTTTTTTAGAGTGTTGCTGAACCGACGTTGATAAGTGTATTATAAATATCAACGAATTGAATAGATTTCTCTCGTAATAAGTTCTATTTGAATAGTTCGATTCTATCAACATCATTGATTTATATTTTGTTCAGATTCTACCCAAAGGTTGTTATAACAAATCCTTTAATTGTTTCAAATTTTATTTTCTATAATACTCCAAAACAGAGTGGAGTTGACACCGCTTTTTATTTCAACAAAATCTCTTCTTTTACTACTTGTAACAAATCATTTTTCATGTAATTAATAAACTATGTGTACAAGTCAATTCTTCTATGAATAGATGAATTATAGTTAGATATGACTTGTATTCAATTTAAGTTATGTCGCAGTTATCGTCATCTATGGTATTGTATTTAATTCTGTTGAAGATAGCGTCTAGCATTCAGTTTCATTTGCATACTAAAACATGATAACTCCATCTTGCAGATAATCCAGGTGTCTGTAGAATTAAAGTCTGCGTTTCTTGGTCAAAAACTAAAAATTTAAGGACGCCTGTCAGAACTACGAAATTTTTCAAAAGGATCGATATTGAGCTACGCGCATGATCATAGTGATCAAGATCAGAGTTTGCAATTGGTTTGGTTTCGGTGAAGGTTTTTGACAGTTTCTAGAAAGAATGTAAAGAAATTTTTTTAAAGCTATAAAAACAGATGTTTTCAAAAAACAGGGATTGGTCTTAAATTTAATGATAAAAGACATGATAGTGACGTAAAACGGTCCGTTTTGGGAACCAAGTTCTGACTTTCCCTGAAAAACCTCAAATTTTCTGAACAGCGCTTCAGATATTTTTCGGGTTTTGTTCACATTTCGAAAGAAAAAAAATTTTGAAATCTGACTCTTTTACGTTCTTTACACCACAAGTTAAAACTAACCCGACCTCTCCAACATCTATGCATAAGAAGAAATCTACTATTAAACGCTAAATGTCTGATTTTAACTCTTATTATGACGACATCTCGAGGAGGATGCTAGATAAAACCAAAAGAAAAGCTTCATTACTATGCTTTCGTATGGTCAGCACTTCCTGAAAGTACAATTGAGATCGGGATTCGTTACTGAGATGACGGGGGAAAGCTTAAAGTTAAGTTTTATTCAACAGTCACATTAAATCGCAAAAAATGGTGTTAAAACCGTTTTTTCACCCCTACTGGATGAAAAACATCTCTAAAAATGCGAACCCAACTTACGAGAGAAGTGTGTCAAATGTCAAATCGCTTTTTTGATAAAATTAGGAGGACTATAGGTAGTCCAGGGTACTGATTCTCAATATTGGAGCTACCCATAAGCCTTTTGAAGTCGGTTTTCTAAGGCGAAAATATCTTTTTGCTAAAATTGATTTTTTGCTCTGTTCAGATTGTAGAGCTGGCTATGTAGGTGTTTTTGTTTTCTTTCTTCCTGCTTCTCCAGATTAAAGGAGAATATTTTATTAGAATAATACAGACAGAAAGAACACAGTAACGCCCGTGTCTCATTTCGTATTTGAAACAAAGCATATAGCTGTTTACAGATAAGAAATAGAAAGAAGAAGCGACGCGAAGAACACATGTGTACGAGCATATCTGACTCACTTATCTGCACTTCCATAAGACTTTGTTCCAAAATACTCGTAAATCGGTCAGAAGTCATCCAATAATATAAAAAGTTACCTACATAGCCAGCTCTACAATCTGGAAAGATCAGAAAATCAATTTTAGCAAAAAGATATTTTCGTCTTAGAAAACCTACCTCAGAAGGCCTCGGGAGAGTTCCAGCCCTCATAATCAGAATCAGCGCCCCCGACCACCTATACTCCATCTAATTTTATCGAAAAAACGATTTGACATTTGAGACACTTTCCTTGTTAGATCGATGGAATGGAATGTTCTCCATCATCTGATATAGAAATCGTTTTTTATTCAAATATTTAGGTCATGAATCACGCATCTTCAGTCATTGATAATAATGTGGCACAGTAGCAACAACTGGAACATTCCAGTACTCTACATATTATAAAAAAGACTACAAACACAATATTATGTTGAGGACACAGATTTGCATGGAATTAAGTTCCTAATTCGTTGAGCTTATTTTCGAACTTTTATTAGGAAGTTAATTCGGGAGAAAATGCTATGCAAAACGAACAGCTAGTTAGGGACCACCTATTACGCAACGTGAGAGAATCTAAAGAAATCTCGAACTGAATTTTCTCTAATCTTCTGCTTTTTCGAACTGTGAAAAAATGCTTTGTTAGAACCACTGCTCAGGTGAAAACCGATGCAAATTCTGAAAGCAGAAAAGTCTCTTTTTTTATTTTCTTCAAAAAGAAAACGGAGAAAACTCCTCTTCTAGAAAGGGAGATGTTTGAAAAATAGCAAACGACAGACAAACTAATATTCTGTAAGAACAACATGCCAGAAACACGTGAATCGATGCAGCGCCGCTGCACATGACTCGTACACTACAGAACCTTAGCACTGTTCAGTTATCTCCAACTGTACACTGCTTTTGA